AATGGTTAATTTTCTTAATGTTTAGTTTAATAATTTAACAGCTTAACAAGCACTTGTAAGGTTTCTTCATAGAAATACACGCGATCCATTTCCAAGAATCCATAAGTAATACGATAGTTTCGTTTCGTAGAAGCTAAGTCTTATGATCTTTCATAAAGGTGAAAAAACTAACCTGAGTAATTCAGCGCCCACGTCGGCTCTAATTACGTATGAATAAAGCATGACGGTCTGCTAGGGGCGGCTCTGTTCGTTCCATTTATATCATGTATAAGACGAGGATTCAATTAACCTTTTGGCGGCGATACACGTAATACGAGCCGACTGTACGTACGGTAACAAACGCGAAGTGACAGCTCGGTGTCGCCACTAACATCTATGTACTTGAGATTACATCTTTGGATTATATCTTAACGTTAAAGTATTGAGAAACATTTGATGTAGAGGATCTTATGTAGGAGATTATAGAATTTTTGATATCCTATAGCGCCGAATTCTATTTTCTAATCTCCAATTAATACTTCAGAAACATGATTTATAAAGTTGAGTTAAGTCGTTTATTTCTTTTCCCTTTTTTAAACGAATCTTGTTTTATACCTTATAAAATAGGACTGGCAATGTATCCAGTTTTGTTTCGCCACTTAACGCTCGACGTTGGTCTTATTTGTTATTCAGCTATAAAAGTTAATTCTTCAATAAATCACGCAGTTAATCTGTCAGTTATTGTCAAATAAATGTGCGCATGCACTTTGTTCTGAACTCAACGAGAAACATTAATAGCAGAGCATATGCTAATTGCGAATCTGCCTCGAGCTTTTTGTGTCGAATCAATTGCCTGAGTTGCTATTTGAATTCGTAATTACGAGTACTGTTCACTATTTGTTTCAAATATTCGTAGAATCGTTTAATATTAACTGTACTTAGGGTCTTTCTAGTATATTGCGTGCATGTCTAATATTTCTTAAGTCTGTAACTGTAGAGCCCGCTATAACATCTTCGCACGAATGGGACGGCTCACCTGGTAATACCACGACCACATAGAAGACAGGCTTGAAGTGGGAGCAATTCAGTGTTTCGATTGATGAATGTGGTCGGAGGCACCAACCTTTTTCTTGTAAGTAAAGGATGAGAAGGGAAAATGGATTTGACGGGAGAGGAAAATATCCTGTTTCTATGCGTCACCTCCTCCGCATAAGGGTAGTCAACGCATTTGTAATTGCGGATGTCTATGGGCAGCAGTCGCCTCTCCGTATTAGCGGATTTAATTGGCCGTTAGTTTGTTTGACACCTTATAATATAAAAAAAAACTTAGACTATAACAGTCTGGTATATTAACTTTAAAACTAAATAGAAACTTTGAATCTCAAAACGGATTTAAGTCATAATAAGCGTGTATCCAACAACGGCGAGCTATTCGACCGCTGACGTCAGCTTCGTGCAGTTTTCATTTACCCCGCTAATAATTTTACAAAACTTTCCCCCGACTTCAGTTTCCGTTCTACCGCGCCTCAATCTTACCTTAATTTCACCGCCGGTTATAAACTTTTAATGCACCACTTAAACGAAACTTTTACTTGAAATGTTACCCCTTGTAATGTCCACCTTTTTTATTTTATTTGAAACAATTGGTCAGGAGATTGCAAAAAATTCAGGTTAGTATTAGGATCAAGAGATTACTTTCTTAGAGTTGTGCACAGGGATGTACGAAATAACAAAAAAGACAATTTGAATAAATATAGAAAAGTGAATATAACCTATTTTCGGAATTATTTATTGTTGTCCTACGACGTTTAAGATTTTCAATTGCAGCTGAAAGAAACATTTTCTTTCTTAAAAAGTTTAAATTCGATCAAACGTAGATTCAGCATCTCGACGTTTCCGTACAGAGAATTTTTCAAGATTGTTTTGAAACACGCTACCTGGAGCGAAGTTTTAAGAACCGTATAAACTTTTGCATTCTTTGAAAACTAAGCGTCCATACAAATCGGTGCATTTGATCTGTCTCACAAGTTTAAAACATGGAACCGGCGGCAGTATTTCATGCAACGGATTCACAATTTATACGCAATTTTATTCTATTATTGTAAAATTTTACTACTTTTAGGCGGTTTGCGTATCTACGCGCTAAAGAACATTTAATTAGATTAGATACAATATCAAAACAAAACAAATCTATAACATGAAGCTTATTGTTTCACAAATTGTAGCACTATAATGACCTGATATGAGGATTTTGATACATCGTGAGTGGGTGGATCAGTGAGATCGCCGCCTACACGACACTGTGATCCGACAGATTCTTATAAATAACCGCATTACCGAAAATAGATAAATCGATCATTGATCCTCCACCTACAAGTATGTTGATATCGAATTAAGATAATTCAAAAGTACTATTAAGACAAAGAAACCCTTGTTAATGATATAAGATCGCCTTTTGTTTATTATAAATTATTAAGGTTTCATTATTATTTAAAGACGCTTTAATATTTGTATAAAGGCATCTTGATCATCTAGTTAACAATACTATTTGTTGCATTTGTCAGTAAAAATGTTACCTTACAATGGAAATTAAGTTATTGTAAATGATTTTCCATTCGCAAAGTAATAGGTTCCTTTGTAGAACTTGAGAACTACATACATAATAAAATGTACACATGAAAGATAAAAGGGGTGACTATTTTTTCACGAACGATTGCGTTCACTCAACTCAGCAGTCACTTTTCATCTAAAATTTCCGTAGTTTTTTTTCTCTTATTTCGCTTTCGCAAACCGACCCGGCGAGGCGCGCAAACAAATCATCTTTTGTTCTGCTCGTTTTATTCTGTCTCCTTTTAAACTATTCTGCCAAAGAATCTTAATTAGGGTAGTGTGCCATCGCGACTACCGCCGGATTGCGTCCCCATTGTCTCTGAACACGGAACAAAAGATATACAAATGCTGACTGGTTAAGGTAAATACTATAATTAAACCACAACATTATCTGCATACTTGTATTTTGTGTAACTTTTTAATATTTGGTATAAAAAATACACCAGGATGTTAAAACTTGTTGGAAGTAGTTACAGATAACTCATAATATTCAGAAATATAAAAAATTATTTCAGTCACATGAAATTATGAAATGTCTAAATAAATCTGACTTACGTCTGCAATACCCTCCACTAATAAATCAGCCGCAAGTTTTAATTTTCATTGCTAATATTTTCATATAAAAACATTTTTTACGTAACTTTTACATTTTCAGACCTCAATCTCGGAATAATTTCCCCCTAAACCACTGCAAAGTTTTAATGTGCCATTTCAACGCGAATCGAGACGAACACTTTTTCCTTTCGTGTAAGAGATTTTATGTAAGACTTTGTTTTTCGTTACATATTAACTTTTCTTGGAGGCGAGTGTCACGACGTTAAATTTATAGTGGATGTTTCTTACGCCAATCTTATCAGACTGGCACATCGAATTAGAGGCGAGAACTAGAGACTGTTTCTGTCTGCCAGAAATGTTTACTACTTTACACGAGTTACACACGCTTGTAGTTAATGGGGAATATCGTGTACTATGTTCTATGATTTCCTTTTACTATCATAACTGATGGTTTTAGAAATACATTTTGTAATCATCAGAATTTTTGTTAAAAGTTTTTGGTAACAATGGTTCAAATAAACAATCTTACTAATATTATAAATGGGAAAGTTTAGATGGATGGATGTTTGTTAGAGTTTGTAGCCTAAACGGGTGGACGAAACTCGATGAAATTTGGTATAGATGTAGAGGATAGTCTGGAAGAACAGTTAGGCTACTCAATTTTGTTTTTTTTAATTCCACGCGAACGGAGTCGGCGGCGAAAGCTAGTTAATAATATGTTTTCAACTTCACTGGCATATTTTTCGCAAAGTTTTATAGCAAATGAATTGAAATGAAAATAATATTCATTTCCTTCATAAAATAGCACTAGAAAAATCTATCGCTTCAAGTCTTAGTAATACTTGATGTTGGTATTTGCCAAGTTATTATTATAATCCTATTTCTGATTGGATTTATTCCAAAAGAATTTATTTCAAATTGATATGTATTACTATTCATTATACGTAGTTGTATTTGTAAAATAATTCTTTTAATTAAAAAACATCTTCGTGTTATATTTAACGCCTTTACCGTGGAGAGATTTTAACGAGGAAAAGTAAGAAAATAAACTCTAGCGTAGCTTTTTTCTCTCATTACAAAAATGTCTGACGTCACAACTTCGGTCACAATGTGAAATTATGCTGACTCGGACTCTTTCAGCAATTTAGGTTGACTGGCGTTATATCATAAAAGGAACTTTGTAAAACGTGTTGTGGAGGTATCATAGCGTTGTGAGCATTAAAGTTTAAAGAAATAAGTGAATAAATAGTTTTAAATAAATCGATTTTAATAGGTTATCATCGACTTTGTATAATCTTGCTATTCGACAGTTAAATTAAGCTGAAAATTAAAGTTTTTTGTATTTATTCTTCGTCAAATTTTGTATATATTTATATTTTAAATTATCTAGACGTGAAAAAACGTATTTTCAAAGATAAAACCAATATAGCGCAACGAAACAAGTGTAGAGTATTTGACGTTGTTATTTTAAATAGAAAATGTAGACAGTCTGCGCTCGGAATATAAAGGGGAATATTCAAAAGCGAGTCCCGAACGAAATTGGCAAATCATTGCATTCTCAGACGCGGCTTCGGGCTGATGTTGTTGCCAACGATATTGGATGCCGGCGAAATTTTTGCCCGAAAAAAACAGCCGAATTATTAGATGAAGCGAAATCGCGGTTCAACCCTCAAAATTATATCGATTTAAATATTATCTTTACATTTTTTAGATATTTATGATAATTTTATATCAAATCGCCACAAACAATATCAAGTTAAAAGGTATATTTTTCGCAAGTTTGTAACACAAAGGTCAAGTATACAACTAATCTAAACATTAATAAAAATTAAAACGAAATGATAATATAAACTTACCATCTAGTTCATACCCCTGCGCACCCCACTGCGGCAGCTCGTGCGAGTACGCTTTAGGATCAGTTTTACTGCCTATGGAGATCTTGAGGCTTTTCCACAACTTCATTTTGACAACATATTTGTCGGAGCAACTTTACACTTCACTTAACATCGCACCACTAACTTGCACACGACACTAATCCATAAGAGTACCTGGAAATAAATAAAAAAAATTATGCAACGCACCTTGAAACACGTTAAGTTACCTGATAACTGGTAACACAAATACATTATGAACAATAATTCAATTGAAAAACAATAATATACAAACGGTTCAGACATTTCTTTTAATGCTCACAGTATTTAATTCTCCTAATAAATAGTCTAATTTTACTTTAAAAAAACTATTTGATTATGATCAATATTTAATTACAAAGCACAAGAGAATATGCTTTTTGCCTATTCAATAAGTTATCCGGTTCAGTTGTTTAAGATGTAAAAAAAAACAATGGTAGTTAAAGTCAGGACATAGAACAATGGATGGCTACGGTTACTTGCCGATGCAAATAGCTTTAGAGTCGATAAGCAATTTTTACAATGATTGGAGCGATATCCGGCGGTCGCGGGTCACTGGCTCCCATCAATACAATACTTCGTGTGAACAATGCTTTTATATGGGTTTGCAAATTATAAATTAATTTAAAGTATAATGTTATAAATATTAAATTAAATAAGGAAATTTTACTCAAGCCCATAAACTATGCAAAGATAGTTTTCCTGTAGTATTTTACAAGTATTAACAGATTTCGCGAATCATACACTTACTAATAGAATACTGACTTGCGATTTGCGAAACCACTATGTGTTCGTAGCTCCCGTAGCCCTCGTAGCTTCGTTCGTAGCCACCGGGCCGTAGCACGGACCATGAAAGCCACTCGAGTAACGCTGAATCATTCAGAACATTAAATAAACAAAGAAACTCAATAACGAGATTTTCTGTAGTTAATACGAATACGAAACATTTTGAGAAGTTATCTTTGCTTAAATGTGTCAAATCAAATTATTTACATTTGTCTTAAGGCTACATGAAGTTAATATTTAACGTACAAAATAGTTGGATTTTGTTATTTTGAAGGGTTATGAAGACTCATTGCTTTTAAAAAACTATATCGGGTCATCAGAGGTAAGTACTTTTTAATTTTAGAAGAGCTTAATAAAGTACAAAACAAAGAACTTAACAAGCTTAACATGCGCTGGTAATACTTAATGATTACGTGATGCGAAGAGCGAAGCGAAGGTCATTGAACCGTACAATGTGGGTTTCATCACGGACTTGTATGTAGCGAAAATTCTCGCATATGGGATAATCCATTCGATTACTTACGCCAATAAATCTTTACAAATTTGAAAGGGATTCCACTTTCCGTTCGAGGTGCGATTGATTTTGGATTATATTAATGAAAAGGGTCGTATTTTCAAAGGAAAATAATAAACATACAAAATAACGAAAAAAACGTGTTCAGCTTTCATCGGTCTTATTTTTCAGAATTGGAATAAATCTCTTTATTTTAAAATACCTAAAAACACTTATTTAGGTACAAGTTTACAATATAAATTTACAATAAAACTTGTAATTTCACTTGAAATAATATCTTATGGCTACTAAAGTTTAAAAAATAAATTCAACGAATTACAATATACGCTTGTCACCGTAAAGTAGGCTTCTTTATTAGCCGGTGCAGAGTGAAAAAGGGAACGAATTTAATGCTAATGAATAATGTATATCCATTTATCCTCCATTCATAACGAACGCAAAAATAACAGGGAAAAAAGCTAGGAATACTTTTTATAAGAAAAATAAAAGATTTCGGACTAGAACGGTCTTTATACGTGTTGTATAATAACCAACTTTATTGCTATACGTCAAAAAAAATTCTTTTAAAACTGTAGTTTGAAATAAGTAAAGGTGTATACCGTTTAGACATACGGTTATGTTATGAAAAGAAAAGATTTGGATTTTCTATGTTTATCCATATAAATCTATGCTAGTGTATACTAATATTAAAAAGAGGAAAGATTTGTATTATTGGATTTATGAAATAACTGAAAAACTACTGGGCCGATTTAAAATATCAATTCTCCATTAAAAAGCTACGATATCACTTAGTAAAATAGGCTAGATTATTATTATTAATTATTTACGGCTTACTCACGTGTACTTTTTTCCGGTGACGACACCGACCAGTTTCAGACCCTGCGGGGGTCCTTCTTCAGGGCGGGGGTTAAGGATGTATCACGGTCGCGCCGCGCCTCGAATTATATATTATTTTTTATTTCACGTAGACTACGTCGCGAGCATAAGCTAGTATATACGAATATTATGAAGAGGAAAGTTTTGATTTTTATATTTGCATTTCCATTCCAATAAACTATCTGCAAGATATTTCAACTAATATTAGTAAATATAATCCATATTAATTGTATTTCTCAAGTCCTTAATGCCCAGCAATCGGTTAAAATCGCTTATTAATATGAATAATTTAAACCCCTCTTCACTTGTTACGACTTAACCGTGACTGGAAGCGAGTAATGGGTTAACTGGCATCTCGTTACTGCGCGGTCAGCGGGATTACGCAACCCTTGAATAATTAATGACTTTAATACCAGATTCATATAAATTATTTAAACTGTTCATTCGCACTGATCACGAACTTCTCGATTTAAAGCAATGAAATAAATAAATTTGACTATTTGTAAGTAAATATTTTTAACGAGCTGGCGCTCGCAAATTCATTAGCGCAATTTTGTCCACCCATTACGCCATTTTAACAGTGCGGAATCAAAAAAATAGCCTATAATATGCCTATCCGTGGCAGCAAACCTCCAGTGAAAGACCAGATGAAATCGGCCCAGCCGTTTTGAAGGTGACTTCGAACAAACGCGGCTTGCGGACAGACAAACATTTTTAAATGCGATTTTCGTTGTCAGTAACATCATCATCTTCCCGAAATCTGTAATTTTTCTTTTGATTTTACAGACACTCCAATTTGTATGTGTGTGTGTATAGGTAGATAGATAGTTTGTAGACAGATAAACATTAATTACAAAAATAATTCAATAAAAATTCAGGTTAAATCGTCTGTTAGTTAGTTTTACATCAAGCAATTTTTGCTGAGTAAATTCTAGTTAAATTATTATATCTAAAAGTACAATTTGTTTTCAATAACAGTGGTAAAATCTAAGGCTTTCGACACACTAGAGTTGTTAAAGTGTATACCATACTCTTAACGTTTAACATGTTGAGGGATGCTGAGAATGGCGTGTCCTGACATCGAACATCAAAGCGAAGTACGTTGTTGCGGACATGTCGATAGTCAAGTATCAAACGATACAACTTTGTTAAGCAAAACCCTTTATAATGTCAACTTAACGCGTGTCGACCACAGTTTACAAAGTTTACGACACACTTGTAAAAAAAATGGTTAGTAAATGGTAGTAAATAGAAGAAAAGCAAAGTTTATTTGAATACCATGAGAATAAAATACAATAGGAATAACTACTACGTTCTATGTATTAAGCAGTCAAAAAACATTTACACAGCGACTAAAGTTTTGATGTAATTAATATTATAAATTCTTTGTTATTCAAAGTGTGTATAATTTAATTTCGTCGTATACTCTAGATGACATTTTAGATTAGCTGAGCTAAGTCCCTACGGAATTAACATTAATTATCAGTCATTAATTAATCACACAGCGGTCCTTTCCAAATGGGCGAGTACGTCGAATGAGACACGAAGCTTGCAAAATTCATGAAAATTAATTACAACGACATCCTTGAGGTATTAAGGACCCAAAATAATTATAGCTTCACAGACCTCTGGGTTATACTGTGCCATTTGCGAACGGATTATCTACCTTTCTTAATTTTATGCAAAATTTATTCTTTAACTAATTATCCATTTAATTAATTAGATTACATTTAATACTTTTTTAATTAAGGTTACATTGGAAGACACATTAACTAGCTTTCCATGTTTTTGTCCTCTTTGTTAATTAATTTAAGAACGTTATTTTTTTTACTTTAGTGTATTCTATTTACATCTTACGAAATTATTAAGTCTATTTTTAATAAATAAATATATAATGTATTTTATTGTTCAAACCTCGAGTTACAGCAGGAAATGGGCTAAATAGAATTTATTAAACAAAACACAAACAAAATTGCTAACTCGACAAAAGGTAGGCGAGGCTTTTCGCTTTCAGGATCTCTTTGAAATGTAGCGCGAGTTAAACGACTTTTCATTGACTGTATAAGCTTCGGTTAAACGAAAGCCTTTGTTTTAATTAAATCGAGTTTAACTTGAATACCCTTAAATTATTTTGTTAATGTCTTAGACTTTATCGTGTGAAGATTTTCTAACCTAACGTCGAAGTAATACTGTGTTTTAAATTAATTTTTGATGAGATCGTAGCTTGTATGTCGAGGATACAATTTGAGAAATCCAACTTTAATATTCTGAAATAATTAAGGTTTGAAGGCAGACGGAGAAGTTTCCGGAAACTCTTGCATCATAATTAGCTCGTAACCTCACAGGTGCGATCCGAATTTAAACCATAAACTCTGCAGCTCTCAAAGTTAAAATCTTTAAGATGATAAAGTACCTCTATAGTACGTTACTAATTTCTATCCAAATTAAAAACAATCCGCTTTGAATCAGAGTTCAAAGATACTACAAGGTTCAGTGGCAACGTTAGCTCTATAAATAAAATCTATATTTAGTGTGAAGCGCATCTCGCCTTGTCCCGTGTCTCCGGACAACAAGAATATGACGCGACACATTCCTCCTTCCTCACTTCAAGAGCAGTGTTTTAACTGTTTACATCTCGTACGTAGTCTTCTGCTCTCATACAGAATGACACCTAAAAATGCAATAAAGCAAACTGAGTTAAAAACAATAAACCCATCAAAATTACTCTAATAGTTGAATATACTCGAAAACATCTCAATATTTGACAATGAAAAAATTATAACTAACTATTTATACTTGTTTTTCAATACATTTTTCGATTTTTATTACTCATGTCCACTCTGTGTTCTGATGCAATATAATTCTATGACACTACGGGGCAGATGACTCAAATGACAACTCATAGGTGAAAATCCGTTACGTCGTTTAGATTCTAGGCAGTGACGAAGAAATTTACAACCAC